CTCCCCTCCCCTCCTCCTGCCCCTCGACACTGCCGCCACGCCAGTCTCCACCTTCCCCTTCCCCACGTGTGGCCATGGGGTTCTCTGGGGCACCAACTGCGGCTGCTTCACCGTACACTGGCTCAGCCTGTGACAGGTGATGGTGTCATGGCCGCACTGGGGGTGGCTTCGGGAGGCGTCGTCGCAGAGCCACGCTGCTCCGCTGCTCCGGTGCCCAGGTAAAGGACGGACCCTCCGCCCGCCCTCCCCTTATCTCTTCAGCAGACTGAGTTGGGTGGGGTTGGCTGCAAATAAGTGGTGCTCCTGAACAGAGCCTCTGAACCATCAGTATTTAACTGATGAAAGCCTGGAGAGCAGGGACTAGGAGAAACCCCATCCTTGTGGGGTGCCTGCCTGGAGCCTTGCTCCTCCGCACCATCCCGACACCCGTGCTCCTGCTCCTGGGGAGACCCAGCACCCGCTCTCCACCCTGCTGCTGGTCTGGGACTGGCCCTGTCTTGCCGGAGCACAGATTTCAAACCCCCTCCCCCCCCGCCATGATGCTGAGCCCCACTCACACAGCGCCTCATCGTTGCCTTCAGGCTCAGCAGCAGGTTGCCCAGGTCGCCCATGCTCTGCTGGTGGTGCGTGCTGGTCTTCATGGCGCTGGGCAGGACCTCCTCCGTGTAGAACCGCATCATCTCCGACACCGACTGGCAGAGGGAGAGGAGGTAAACCACATTGGGGCTGGCCACCAGCACCAACGTGTGGGCGTTTTTAAAAATCAAAATCGTGGTGGTGGTCAGAGCGCTCGCAGCATGTTAGCTCTGCTCGATGTGGGGGGGAACCACGCGTCAGCCTTGCTGCAGACACACGTGTTACTGCTTGGCTGGAGAACTGTCCTTGTCTGACACTGAAAATGCCCCGATTTATAATCTGCTTCCTTTCTTACAAAACGCTAGCCGAAGGATAAGGGACTTAGATAATAATTATAATTCTTACCTTAAATTCATCCAGCAGTTCGGAGCTGAGCAACTGGATGCTAAGTTCATCATCTTTTGATTGCTGTAGAAGGATGCAATGGAAACACGAGCTTTACTTAGAGAGGCAGTCAACACTATTTTTCCCTTTGTCCTACCGAATGATCGTTTTCCTCGTTTGCATTTATGGTCTCACTGAAGCGAAGGCAAAGAGCAGCCAGCAGACCCGTGTGCATAGCACAGTAACACCAGACACACGAGTCACCCCTTCTTTGGTCCGTAATCTTGCAGTGCAACTACTGTTAGGTCAAGGCAGCAAGATAATGAAATCACAAACTTCAGTACCGTCGATTTCGTTAATGTGAAACTCCTGCCGCTGCCGGCACCGCACGCTCGCCTCAGCTGCAGAGGGTGTTTATGTAAGAGTGCTGATGCAAACCTCACCGCTGACACGATGGGTGTCAAAGTTATGGCAGCCCCTATCCCCCCCAGCCTGTCTGCCCACGGGCTTGCCAGGGCAGGAGGATTTAGTCCCCCCCTCCCCCCCCGTTTTTGTTATCTCTGTAAGTCTCCAGGCAATGGGGGAAAAGGGATCTGCAGAGGGTGTTTGTTCTTGTGGTGCCTCTGTTGCACCGTCAGCTCTGGAAGACCAGAGAGCTGCAGCAGCGGGGTGGGCTGGCACCAGCCAAAGCATCACCCCATGGCAGCAAGGTACCAAGCTTCCCTGAGAGGTTAAAAATATTCCTTCCCAACCTTAACTGGGAGATTTACAGCAAGCTTTAAATCTAAAGTCTTGACTGTGTTTATTTGATAATAAATACAAGCCGTGACATTAGCCTGAGATTTAATCTGGAGAATTATCTTGCTTTATTGCTAAAACACACTGACATTAACTAAAATAGTAACACAGACGTGACCAACCATCTCCATCAGTACTGATGCAATGACAAATGCTCTGAGTATATCTTGTGCTGCTTTCTCAGCAGCCCTGAGGCTCTCATTAGCTGCAACGCAAAGCAGTGACCTTTTACAGGCACCACAGCAAGTGCTAGTTACTGTAGCGTTTCTCCAGTCATAAAATACCATGTTCAGGCTTTTGTGGTTCTTTCAAAGAAAAAGTCTGTAGCAAAAAATTTCCCTTTTCATCTAGCGTTGACTTCAGCGAGGCTGGACCTCGTTGCCCTGAAGAAGGGACTATTTCCTTCCCATTAATTCAGTGAATAATTTGTTCTGCAACATTTAGGGGGAAGTCTGGCTAGTAAGGTTCACAAAGATTCATTATGAAATCTCTTGAGTTCATTGTAATGAAAACTAGGAAGAAAACCCTTGCGTGTTGTCTCTCAGTGAGCAATGAAACTGAACTTCTTTTGCTCACCCCTGTCAGCCTGTAACACAACACACGACCAAATCACTTCTGCTGGGAGGAAGCTGTCTTCCCCCTTATCCAAATCACTGAACTTTGCAAAAAAAAAAAAAAAAAAGCAAAACAAGAAGGAGGAGAGACTAGCAGCGTTATACTTACAAAATAATCCTTAATTTCCTCAAACTTGATCCTCAGCTCTTTGAGCTTTGCAGGCAGGAGCTCCGGGAAGTGGAGGCAGCTGGGCTCGGTGGGCGAGCACCTGGCAGGCAGGGTGCTGGCCGCCAGGAGCAGCAAGACCAGGGCTGAGCAGGTTTGCATGCTGTGAAAATGAGCTGCTTGCTTCTTGGTCCAGCTCTTGGATGAATTTCAGAGGAGGGTAAAAAGCAGATCTGCAGCCTTCACCTTGATGGAGCCCCTAATTTATACTCTCAAAACATCGCTCAGTTTCCTCTCCCCATTTCCTGGCGAGCAATATTGGGGTTTTAAGTCATTCATTAAAACCAAATGTCACTTGGGTTTCCCGTCAACTTGGGTTTCCTGTTCTCTTGACCCCCCTCCTCTCCTCACACCCCATCAAATCTTTTGTGCTTAGGCTCTGCATTTTTTTTTTTCATTGCTTGCTTCTTGTAAATTTAAATGTGGCTAAAGAGGAAAGCTTCAGATATAATGTGAAGAAGAAAAGGTGCTGTGTGAGGTTACTTCTGCATTCTCAGTTACTTTTTATTTTTAGATGAATGCCCTATTGTTAGGGGGGAAAAAAGTGTTTCTATGTTTAAACTCTGTATCAAACCTGCACTCAGGATCCCCAGCACCATGCATAATTCAGCTGTATTGTTTTTAATGAACCTGCACAAATACACTGTCACCTCCTTTGGCATTCTAATGCTATACTGCAAATACACATAATAATCTTGAAGCTTAATTTTTATTTTTTTTTTTTTCAGTTAATGCATATGTCTGCTGAAGTCGATGTGCATTTTCACTGCCTTCAGCAAGCTCAAAGGCTATGCTCCCAAACTTCAGCCGGCGGTATGTCTGAACGCTAACGGGGTTAGTTCTGCGATGTGCCGGGATGCGGTGGAGGAGCCCGGCCCGACTGGGATGCGTTGCTGCTCAGGTCCCTCAGGGCTTGCGCACGGCTGCCTGGCTGCTTACCCATGGCACTGGGTGGGAGCAGGGTTTGTGCCACGGGAGCCGCTATTTTAACATTGGTGTGTGGTGTTAGAGTATATAAGCAGGTCATGAATATTTGTGTTTCTGGCTCTTTAATCCTATTTCGTTTCCTAGAAATGGACATTAACCCCATCCAAGCAACCCAGTGCTGGCTCTACGAACTGGGTGTACTGTGTTAACTGAGACTTATTGTTCCAGCTCTGATAAAATTACCATTTTAGAGCTGAAGATAATTCCTCTGACGTCTTTCTTGTTTCTGCTTTCCTCTCTTTCATGCTCTCTTTCTATATATATATATTTGTATACACACACACCCCTGCTTCCTTGTGATAAAGATTTCACTGACGAATTTGGGAATCCGTTATCCAAGAAAGAGAAAGTGGAGATGAATTTGGCCTTTCTGAAATCAGAGGGTTTTCTTTGAAAGCTCTCGTGTTATTTTGAAATAATGCGTTCTTCCCAGCCTGCCTCCGATACATTGCTTTGGACAAATCACTTCAATTCTCATTTCCTTCACTGCTCTGAACCTCTTTTAAGTTGAATTTGCAAACCTCTGCGAAGGAACTGGTTGCAAAAAAAATGCTGGAAAAATACAAAGTATTGTTTGTCACTGTATGTTTAGATTTTTTAATTATTATTATTTTTAGGAGCAAAAGAGAGGAATGACATGTACGTATGTATGAGTAAGAGTAAAGGGGATGACACATTAGTAATTGGAGGTGTTGAGGTAGAAACAATGTGGGATTTTGTGTTCTGATTTGTTTTCCTTTTGTTGTTGATGTTGCCTCTTCCAGAGGAGATGAGGAAGCCTGCTCCCAGTAAATCACTGCAGGCACACTAGCTTTATCTGAATCACAGCATGTGTCATGTATTTGGTGACCCATTTTTCTTCCCCTCCTCTAACGCAGCCGTGCGGTTTCTCCCCTCGACTGCCAGCAGAAGCTATGAGAAAGGAGAAGAGCGAGCAGCAGCAGATGGCTCAGACAGAACCGAGTAGTTTTAAACTCGACCCATTTCCGTGGGTAGGATCCCACCTTTCTCGGCTTTCCCCCTTGGCTCCCACCCTGGGAGATTTTTTGCTTATTTTGGATTAACTCAAATCTGCCATGCGTCGATAAAGCTTCACTGCCAAGATGTGGACGGCTGCTTAAGTTCCATCAGGGCATTGATACTGGTGTGGTAAGGGCAATGGGTGCAATGCTGTCAGGAGTCGGTCAGTGTCCCGGAGCGGGTCTGAGGGCAGCCTGGCCCTGGACCAGCGGGTCTGCGGGCAGCCTGGACATGGACCAGAGCTCAGAGCTAAACCCACTCCCTTCGGTGAAGGATGCAGTCCCAGGCACTTCTCTGCAAATCGGGTCCCCTGCAACAGAAGGGTCACTCTCAGCCTCAGCTGTAGGTTTAGGTGCTTGTATTTTTGTGGGATGCAAAGCAAAGGGGCTTGTGGCACACGGGAATCTCCTCTGCCATCATCAGGAGCCGGTGCAGCAGCGGCACGGCGCCGGGAGCCCTCCTTCCTTCCTACCAAGGAGCTGAGCGCTCGTTTCCAAAGTCGTCTTATTTTGAGCAATCTGTGGGTCTCCATGAAGTCATTTCAGTTCGACACCCAGAGCATGCAGAGAGGTTCTCGGTCTTGTGCAATTCCCTCCTCCCTGTTTTGGAACCTGGTTTGTATTTTTTTTTGGTATGAGCGTAAGCCAGATGTGTCCATTCCACAAAGGAAACTCTGGCCTGCGCACGGATGATATTCTGCTGTGTTTACCTGTATTTCCTTTGCCGTGTCAGAGATCTTGACGGTGCAGTTTCGCTCTGACTCACTCTTGCTTACTGCTGTGGAAATGCATTGACTCTGCAGTACTACGAAGTGATTGCATGAATGAATAAAGCACCTTTTCCTAAAGAGTGTCCGGGGGACGTGGGTGTATTTCTAAACCTTTAGGAAACAGCTTTCATGTTTGCCAAGAAGATCATTTCCGGAAGGAAAGTGTGTTACTCAAAAGCCATTCATACACTTTTACCCCACCTCCCACAAACTTCTAAGCGTGTTCACAAGAAATACTCAGCAGGACAGCAGAGTTGCATTTCTGCAGCAAAACAGAGGCATTTAGGCAAACGCTTTTCCCCCACAGCGTGGCGTGCGGAAAGGTTTGTCCTGGATGTGGTCCTGGGCATCCGGCACTGGCTGACCCTGACCAGGCAGGGCTTGGGCTCGGTGGTCTTCAGAGGTCCTGTCCTCTGGAGCAGGGTGGCATCTCACGCTTCTTATTAAAGGGGCTCCCTATGTGTATAGCTTTTCTTATGTTGGGAAGCTTTTATGTGGGCAAATTTTTACATTTTTTTGCCTTCTTGGTCTCCGTCATTGCTTTCGGACAAAGGAATGTTGTGTATTTTATGCACTATCTATTCTAGATATAGACTGGAGGATCCCCTAGGTTTCCAGGCTATCATAATGGTGTGTTTCTCTCTTTCTTTTTCAAAAATTCCCCATTTCACATCCCTTCAGGTCCGGGAGAACTGCTGTCAGTGACGCTCTGGGGAAGCAGAGACTTGGTGGCCTTTTATTCACCTTGTGTGAAGAGTAGTTTTGAAGCAATGGCATTTGCTCTCTCAGCAGCCCCATCACTGATGACTAACAGTTCCTGATGGGCGAAGCATAAAGTGGACTGCCTTTTTTTTTCTTTTTAAGAAATTTTTTTGCTGGCAGGGCATGACGTTTGATTTTTCACTTCTGGAAACCTGCTTTCTAGCACCCTTGTCGGAATTTGCAATGTGACTCATATCGACCTCAACAGGTAAATCCCAAATTACTCTTCGGAAATTTAACCCATGTCATTGTTTTGTCTTGTAACATCTAAGTGTCCAGAAATAAGTTACTAATCATGAATAGAAGACGTTATTGTGACCTCTAATGTGACTTCTAATATGACATAGAGAGAGCTTTACATAAGAAGTTCTTAGCAGGACCAGAACTCCCATTTGATCTAAACCAAGCTGGAATCGTCACCTAAAAGCATCAAGTAATGGAGACTTCCTCCCATCTGTAGATTCAGTGTTTTGGTGATTAACTTAACTGAGAAATACTTGCACTTTTTTAATTGCATACATAAAACTCCCAATATTTGGAAGTCTGCTGCAGCCTATAAGGCAGATAGAGAATAACATCCCTATTTAATATCCTGCCCTGGGATTTCAGGGTGCCCTCTGCCAACCTAGAAGAGTGAGCTGTGCTTTTTTTCCCCCAGGTTGCATGTACTTTGCCATTTTAAGTTAGTCTGTGAGGGTTGTGCAGAGTTGTGGGTGAGGTCGGTGCTGCTGCAATACCTTCTTGTCGCTGGGTCTTCTAACGAGCCCATTGATGCAGCGTCGGGCCATCTGCCAGGTGAACGATGCTGCCCTCGTCCATGTGAGGCTATTTCCTGCTCAGCAGGGGACAGTTACAAACGGAGGTGTTACTACCTTTCTTCTCTTTTCTCCTGAAATAAGTTGTCGGCGGGGATTTTCCAATGCTCACAGCAATGTCCTCTTTCTGTCCTAATAGAAACCGATGAGATCTTGGCACTGGCATTTCAGGGAGTGGGGAGCGTGTGCTCCGAGCGAGCAGGGAGGATGAACGAGGTTTTCTCAGAAGAACGCAGTATGTTTGCAGGTAAGCCAAGAAGGTAAAAGTATGCAAAATTGGTCAAATATATGGTCCATCTTAGAATCACGGAATCATAGAATTGTTTAGGTTGGAAAAGACCTTTAAGATCATCAAGTCCAACCGTTAACTGCCAAGTCCACCACTAAACCATGTCCCTAAGCACCTCATCTACATGTCTTTTAAATATCTCCAGGGATGGTGACTCAACCG